CCCCCCCACCTCGTAAATTTGCAGTTTCTCAGAACTTTCAAGCTTTGGACTTCACTAAACTTTGGCGGCCATTTCCTCGCTAATTTCTCCTCTGACACCAAGCGACCCCACCTCTTTCAATCTCAGATATCTCTACTTCTTTTAGTAGCTAGTAGATAGGTATTTTTGTCCAACCGAAGTAAGACACATGAACAAATTGCAAGACGATATCAATAACTCCATAAAACTGACAAGCGCCTGATTCCATCGCGTCGTGACACAAATGCAAAACACCTGGTTCTCGTATGCTCTTTTTTGCACAGAACCTCTTTCAAGGCACACGTCTTTTTTGCAGGCTATGCTTCCGCAAATTGAAATGATATACTATCTTTTATCAGGCACTATAATGATACTCTTTTCAAATTCAAAACACCCACCCCCTCTCCAAATCTCTTCAGCATTCCCCCTCTCCACCCCACCCCCTCCCCCACACCCATCCTCAACCATCACTCCCCAAACGGCGAGCAAAAAAACAGAGCCCCAAACAAGCTCTGTCAATTGCAAAGTGCTTTTCTTTTTCTATTAATTTAATAACTGTGGTCAAGCGACAGTTCTCCACAGCTTATTATACTGACGTCAGCATCAAATGTTTCACTACAGAATGAATGCTTTTGATCATGGAGTCCAGATGTGCATTGTTTATCTCAAAGAAACATCTGGAATTTACAACAAACAGTCTCGTATTCTTTCAGTCGGCCGCTAACCATCGCTGTCTCAAAGAAAGACAGGAGGGAGAAAATAACGAGCTGTTTAGTATTAAAATGACCGAGTCCAGGAATTATATATTCGTCTGGCTGAGCTTTTGTTCCCAAAGTCGCCGTTTTCAAGTCATGTTCAATCAGACATTGGACAGCGTATTTAGCTCCTTGGGTCCCCAAGACTACAATATTTGTCAGAATACTTGCGTTGCTTATTATTCCAACCCACCGTCTGTTTTTGAACTTCAGAAATACAGCAAACAATTGATAGCATACAACGTAGTCCGCCATTTTCGAGCTCCTGGGAACGAAACGGAACGTTTGTGACCTTAAAGATAACAGGAGGGGTCAGAGGAAAAGATAATCTATGTATCTATCTATCTATCTATCTATCTATCTATCTATCTATCTATCTATCTATCTATACCGACTTCAACATAAGTTAAGGAGCACGACTTGCAAATTTGGCTAAAATCCCCCGAGGATTTCCGTGCTGCACGGGGTGGTTTTGCCCCTTTAGGAGCCATTACATTGTTAACCCATTAACAATTTCAGAGAAAAAAAAGTTGAAAATCCTTGCTGTCTTTTTTTAAGAACATCAGGACTGTCTTTCTAGATGGTCTTTAACTAATGTTGAAGTCTGTATATAGTTCAGGTGGAACCGACCTTTGCGTCACTTTTTAGAAGAAACCACACATTTTCTAGCCCCAAAAATCATTACAACGACAGCGTTCAATACTCCTACGAATATGATGAAGCTGGATTTTATTATTTTAAACTTATTAAAGATTGATGAAATTGTAGAATTCGATCGCTACGTATCGTTTTGAAATACCCAAGAATTAAGTATTTGCTTTCCAAATCTACTTTTAAAATTCGACAATGAGCAGAGGCACACAATAATATTATCAAGTCGCTACCCCAGAACTACAAAGTTCTATCTGCTCAGTACCTAATTTAGAGAAATTTGACGTCAGAAATGTTGAGTTTCACTACATGTTAAGCTTTTTCGAATGCAATTCTTTGAAAATCTTGATAACGACTCCAAATACTTTTACGATTTTGCTAGAGGAGATAGATCATTTGGTTCCTGACCTCAAGGTCTTAGTAACTCAAAAAGGCGAGAAATGTCAGAAAAAAACCTTTGTAATTCTGAGGTAGCGCAGTGTGTGTCGGTGACACGCCAGGATGTTTCAAGGTGGTGGTCAGTGTCTTTGAGCAACACACGATAACCCCAGCTCAGAAACAGAGCGCTGCGCAGTGACTACAATCAATATATTATATTGTGTGGATTATGCTTGGGGTGTTGTGTATTATTCATGCTTTTATCTTTATATCCGCCAATGTTAAAAAAAACACAAAACAACAACAAAACAACCATAAAAAGCCACCTCCCGAACCCCCCCCCCCCCAAACAAACCAAGAACAACAAACAAACAAGCAAGCGAGGAACAAAAAAATAACAAATAAACAAACAAATAAACAAATGAGCAAACTCAAAGGTGTCAATGAAGTGTAAAGATGAGTTTTTCTTATTTTTGTTCGTCTGGTACATATAATTAATGTTTCTAGTGGTTGACTGTCGTCAATAAATTGTGAATTGCAGTTTCGGTCAAAAGTAATATATTATTATTGCTGGTCTCAATCCAAGGCTCCAGGTAATCGAGCAAAGGGCACGCGAGCAGCTTGTTGGAAAATAAGACTGAAATCAGCAGCAAAGAACAGAATAAGTAGACGGGGTAAAGATAAAAGAAAGGATGTTACCTTGTGCAGAACATCAAGAGAACAACGAGATTAAAAATACCCTTGACATGACATTACAGCCGCAGCCAGCCAATATCCTGGGAAACTTCAGCAAAAATTCGTATTGTACATTGTCAAGGGAAAGGAGAAATCTTATTATTGCGAATTAAAGTACAATGTAGAATGTTAACGAGAAAGTTGAAGCAAATGAACGATTATGATTAAAAAAGAAACGAATCGAGTAATTTGGATGAAAAAAAGAAGAGGCCAGCAATATAAAAAGCGCTCGAGGAGCTAGAACAACATAGAGAAGGTAAGTGGTATCAACAGAAATAGTATATTGAAAAATAGAGTCGTCATCATACAAAAACAATTGGCTGTAAAAAAAACCCGGCAAGAAAGCAACGAAACAAGAGATAAAGACAAGTAATCTCTGTCACTAAAGTAAACACAAACAGCAGGAAGTTTAAAAATAGCACCATAAAGCTGTAAGAAGTTTCATATGATACGGAGGACGAAATAGACTGGTGTGTAAAAAGAATATTATCATGTGAAACAGGCTGACCTGTAGACAGAGGGTAAAATAAAACGTCGAAGCGGTAGATATAGAAAAAGAATTGTAGATTTAAAGATAAAACAATGGGGACTGCAAACTAAACATTATGTAAAGCATCGAAGTGCATGTAGGTCAAATTGAAAGGCATATAGGTAGTCATGTGACAACATGAGAGGTAAAAAATTGATATAGTGGTGGAAGCAAGACGTGTACTTTAGACGGAAATGCAGATAAGACAGGAGGTTGAAGGGAAAGGCGTTATGGAAGAGATAACAAGAGAGAAAGAGATACTGAGAGAAAAAGAGAAAGAGAGAGAGAGAGAGAGGGGGGGGGGTGTTTGAAAGAGATTGGGGAAGGGGATAAAGTAGGAGAGAGACAGCAGAAAAAAATAGGGCTAATGAGACACACATTGTGCGCACGTGTGGTTATGTGCTTGTAGTGGGGGGGGGGGACAAAGGGACAGGGATAGAGCCAAACAGCTAAATAAACAGATAGATAGATAGATAGATGGATAGAGAGAGAGAGAGAGAGAGAGAGAGAGAGAGAGAGAGAGAGAGACAAACAGAAAGAGAGACAGACAGACATATAGACGGACAAACAGACAGACAGACGGACAGACAGAGAACCAGAGAAGTAGACAGACAGACTGACAGACATTATAATTAGACAGAAAGATTATGATATCTAACAGGGTGTTGCATTACGGGGGAAGAAAATAGAAAAAACAACAACCAAAAACAAACGAGACGACGGGCTCACCTTTTTCCGGGGGTCCACCGCGGTATCTTTGGGCTTGGCCTCCTTCTCTTTCTCATTAGGGTTGAGCAGCTCGGCTGGCGTGGGCAGATCCTTCAGCCAGATCACGTGCACGATCTTGGCGTAGGTGTAGATGAGCACTAGCAACGGCACAAAATACTGCAACACCATAATCGTGAGCGAGTAGGAAAACCGCTGGGTCTCCGAACCCCAGTGTTCGAAGCAGATGTCGCGTGTCTCGTTATTTTCGCCGAACTGCATCGGTTCGACTCTTGACGTGACCGCGGTTGGGATGGGAGTGAGAAACGCTAGCACCCAGCACAAAGCTACAATCTGGAGACAGCGTCGTTTTCCCAAACGTCGTAAGAATGGATGCATAATGGCGATATAACGTTCGAGACTCATAGCGAGCAGCGTGTAAGCGTTTTGAAACACCACTGCAACCTGGAGGTACATCACTATTGGGCACAGTGTCGACCCGAAGGGCCAGTGGTCCAGAAGTACGTTTGCGACAAAACTGAATGGTATGCACACAACGGCCATGAGAATATCGCTCACGGCCAAGCTGGCGATGAAATAGTTGGTAACGTTTCGCATTTTGCGCTTCGATATCACAACGTAAACGGCACAGGAATTCCCGAGTACAGCAACAACACACAGAACGGTGTACAAAACGATGATGGCCACTTGGGCTTCTCTGAACGCTTTATCGAACTGCTCTTTTTCGCCATAATCGTTGGGGACCGTGACCAATTCAGAGTCATTGTAAGTACCGTTTTCCGAGAAAAATAGGCTTCCATTGGTACCGTTTTCTGGGAAATTTTTCGGCAGCAGCTGCTCCACGTACGTTTCTAATCTAGTGTCCAGATGCTGGTGGTGATGGTGTGATTCCAGGTTGGTGCCCAGCCGTTTGGCGATGCTCACATCCTTCTCTACATAACCGGTTTTAACAGAATCGGGTACGTACACGGCCACAGATACATCAGTAAATGCACCGGTGACCGTGCCCGTAGAGGGTTGGCTCTGGTCTCTCATTGCGTCTGTCCGGGGGCGGGGCATTTTTACCGCGCCTTATACGCCTTTCTAACACATAATAGGTTGATGATAGGAAGTTAAATGTGGCGTTATAATAGAACTTTTCAGTTGGAAGAAGATCACTGTTGATGAAACAGTATGAGTAACGAGCAAAAAATCCTTTCACCGTCTATATTAGTAGTGGTCAAAACTGAGGTCGTATCAAGAAGCATGGACGTTCCGCTTTCACTCTTTGGTGTGGTGTTGAGCTAAACCTAGAAAAATGAGGGAAAAGTAAAGATAAGAGAGTTAAATGGCGTCTTCATTTCATTTTCAATTTATATTTTGCGTGAGAGACAATTTCACATGTCTTACGTTTCATTGCAATCGATATCTGAAGGGAAAAGACCGTGATAGAATTATTGTTTTCTTTAAAAGACATGATAAATGTCACACACAGACAGACACACAGACAGACAGACACAGACAGACACACACACACACACACACACACACACACACACACACACACACACACACACTCACAGAGAGAGAGAGAGAGAAAGAGAGAGAGAGAGAGAGAGAGAGAGAGAGAGAGAGAGAGAGAGAGGGAGAGAGAGAGAGAGACAGAGTCAAGGCATCTCGCCTCCTGAGGCCCAGTGAACAATGTCCTGTTGATGCGTTTGATTCATCTGATAAAGCTGAGTTCTGCCAAATGTGTTTTTTCTTTTTCATGGAAGCGCATAAGTTACCACATTGGCACAATTCAATAAACCACTTCAAAATCAAGTATACATTTATTCATCTAGGTTATGATTCTGATACGTCTAGTCCATCCAGTGAAAACAGCCAATCAAAAGTCTAATAGCATCCTAAAAGTCATAAACCATTGCAAGGTCAGGGCCAGATCTTTTGCTCTTGAGTACAGCGTGAGAAAGTTTTCAAATTCCCCATGTCTATGTGATTCAAGAAGCTCTCAATACAGCAAGAGGGATGTTATGCAGCAACTGGAATTTGAAGCTGTTTTTTATCAGCAAATAATGCGTCGAGTAAGTTCCGAACAGAGAGCTCAATTAATTAAACTTTTAGCTAAAGATGTTGGAGTAGATTTAAGGTGGTTAAGTTTTGTATCATGGGTTTGCAGAGAGACAGATTATTTTTCTCACCACTAATTCCTCGAAATTCGAAGACAAGGAGACTGGTGTATCAATCCTACTTTTCGAACTTAGTTTTGCCATCTTCTTACGTAAAAGAGTAACCATACGCTGACGAGTTTTGCCATCTTCTTACGTAAAATAGTAACCATACGCTGAAGTAATTGTCTGCTGATCACATCCAGTAGGTCTTTAAATGCCACCAGGATTAGATCGAATTTACTCAAAATGGTATCGGTTTATAAACAAGTAGCAGTCCGGACCAGTGCGTAAAAATGAAATCAAGATAATTTCTTTGCATCAGATAATCGGATAATCGGATAATCGGATAAATGGAAGCAGAGTATTAAATTGCAGCATCCAGACACTCTATGCAAATGCCGAGCCCAACGGGTCTTGTCAGGTATTCTTCCTTTTATTCCCTCTGTCTGTCCAGCTTCAATGCATTTGTTCCATACTTCCTTCTCTTTTTCGTCTCGTCTCTTATTTTTCTTCTTTCCCAACCTCAAACTGTCTCCATCTTTCATACTCACAAGTTTTCTGTCATCAGCCACATCCTTCCGGGTTCGAATTTGTTCATTCTCAATAGCCCTCTTGTTGTCTCTTTCAAACGTCTTTTTGTCATTTTCAGCTTTGTCTCCCCCTTCAACGCCCCCACATTTCTCTCTCTGTCTCTGTCTCTCTGTCTCTGTCTCTGTCTCTGTCTCTGTCTCTGTCTCTGTCTCTGTCTCTGTCTGTCTGTCTCTCTCTCTCTCTCTCTCTCTCTCTCTCTCTCTCTCTCTCTCTTTCTCTCTTTCTCTTTTTCTCTGTCTCTGTCTGTCTCTCTCTCTCTCTCTTTTTGTCTTTTTCTCTATCTCTTTCTATATCTCTCTCTCTCTCTCTCTCTCTCTCTCTCTCTCTCTCTCTCTCTCTCTCTGTCTGTCTATATCTCTCTCTGCCTGTCTCTCTCTTGCTCTCTTTTTCTCTCTCTCGCCCTCTTTCTCTGTTGATCTCTCTGTCTCTCTATCACCCTGCTTCTCTGTTCTCTCTCTCTCTCATACCCTCACTCGACTTCTCTCATTCATGAATAGTTTCTCTCTTCTATCACTTCCTCTATGATAAGAAAGCTGAAATACCGAAGAACGTGAATTCCATTGCCCTAAAACGTCGGGCGACTCTCGAAGTTGGAGTTTCAGATGTCCGAGAATACTCAAGATAGGAATGAACTGAACCCACATGTCCCGAAACGTGCCGCGAACATCACATACTCAATGACGCTCTGGTTCAGATAAACGCGAGAGGAAATTTGCGTCAAGTTAGTTTCGTGCTCAACAAGCCGACCTGTTATATAGGCTGGGGATGGAAAGAGAGTTGAAGTAGGATGAAAAAAAGGGTGTAGGAGGGGAGGGGTAAGGGAGGAGGAAGGGAGGGGAAGAAAGAGAGAGAGAGAGAGAGACAGAGAGAGAGAGAGAGAGAGAGGGTGGGGGGAAGAGGGGGGGGGGAGAGGGGTGGTGGTAAAGGATTGGGGTGAAGGAGAGAGGGAGCAAGAGAGGGAGTTAAAATAGAGGTAATGGAGAGAGGGGTTTAAAGGAAAGGAGAAGGGGGAAAGGGGAAAGGGGAAAGGGGGCAAGGGAGAGGGAATGGAGAGCCCACGGGAGGTCGGGGGGGGGGGGGGGGGGTCAAGAGCAGGATACAAAGGTGGGAACATCAAACCGTGTACTTAGTTAACGACAGCATCTTGATTCGTCCTCCTTTTGTGGAATTCCTACAAGGTAAAGAGGAGCACGTAGTTTGCAAGGGTAGAATCATGTCAGAGTTTGGAGGGAATCTGCGGCCTACCATTCTTGAACTTGGGGGTCTTTGTTTAGTTAGCATTTTAAGGCACATGCAAAGCAATAAGGTCATATAGGTGTCAAAGATTAGAAGTGTTATCACAGAGTAGCAAAAACAAAAAGGAAGAAGGAGTGATAAGGACGATAGATGTTAGATAAGAAAGAAGGAGCAAACCACACCAGAGCACCCGCCAACCACCCGCTAGAGGGTTTGTGGAGGTTTGTGTGAATCAGTCCTTATGGAAGGCAAAATGGAGGCAATATCTTTTCAATTAAAAAACTTTATAGAATATGGTAAAAATTCCACGCAATCTAGACTATGCCAGCTATACATGCAAGGGCTACTTTTTCTACATCTGTTGTTTGTTTTTTACAATTTTGTTTAGTTTAGTTAAGTAAAGCAAAAATCATCGTTGCAATAACAGTCCTTTAGAGCAAGGAAGCAGCAAGACGTACAGGCAGGAACAACAAGAGGGAAAGAACAGAAGTTGGACCTAAAAGCGGCACTGCCCAACCACCCGCGCTTCTACATCTATTTTACGACACGTATAAAAGCAAAAGAAGCATTTTATCGCAGCCGTTGTGGCCAAGCTGCTAGATACCATGAGATTAGATGTAACCTGAGACTCAAAAAACGTAAAGAGAATTCAAAAGGAGTTGGCCAGCCTCATGTGAGAACATATCTCGGCGTAGCAGCACAATTATCGTAACTCGGATTTCGTTAGATTTTACAGGAAGAACCAAAGAATAAAAAGAATACTTTTCACTACTGTATCCACCAACAATACCCGGAATTTCAATTTAAAGTGTATTTTCAAATACTGAACGCACGACTCTGATGGTTTTACAGGACATAAACCCCTTTCCAAATGCCCCGAGATATGTTTAAAAAAGGGATTTTCACTATAATCCCGAGTTACGATGCGTAAGCTGTTACCCCACAGTATGAGCCTAGCAAAAAACCTTCAAAGCATCTTCCTTCGTCAGGTCCAATAATTCATCATCACGATAGGGAATGATATGAAAGTACGCTCTACATTAACAGAACGTGCAACTAAAATATATAAAGTATAT